GAAACGTCTGGGAATGTACCACGTCCACGGTCCTACTTTGGAAATAATTATGCATACAATGGACTCAGGATAAGGTGCGTTTCTATCAGTCTTTCTACCATTATGACCAAGTTGCGAAAACAAGGTCAAACAACTTCTATACTGTTTTATCATTCTTGTGTGTGATATTTCTTACTTTCATCCTTACTTGGGTATTTTTGTGTATAATGCAGCTCTTTGCATTCCTGCCTCCATGAGGTCATCCGCTAGGAGTTTTGAGATAGCATGGCCTTAAATTATGCCTTAGACGATAGTGAAAAGGTTGTGCTTCACGGGAAATTAAACTGAATAGGTTAGTCAAAGGAAAGTAGGGAATCTTTTATGAGTTATCTGGGTTTTGGTTACTCAAGCATTCATAAGAAGTAGGGAAAGAATAAGCGAAGTAATTGGCTGCCTTCTCTGGTGTAAAGTGCGATTTACGAGTCGGACCGCTCGGATTTTATTTACAGTTGCCAGGATACTCCGATTGAGTAAGCTTTGCAACCTCCAGTATAGCTTGGATAAGAACTGTATGAAGTGGTAAGGGACTGATGGTTGAATTTCCCCACAATTAAACGAGTAGACCTCGTGTCTCCTAAAAGGTGTTCTCATCCAGGCTTGACTGAACTGGTCTCTTCAACACCCTCAACGGGAATCAGGCACGGTTAGAGCGGCACAGATACCATTCAACGAGAACCTGATGTCCACTCATCTGATTGTGGGTAAATCCAATCATAAATCTTTCGCCAATTAGGCTGAATACAGCATTGTGAAGAATTCATACCAAGACAGATATTCTGGCTTCAATGTTGCTCATGGGAGTCTCGGTGTGCTGCCTGGTCGCGGGGCCGGTCGTTTGAGACCACGATGAGAAGAGGTATTAAAAAGGGCTGGTCGACAGTATTATTTGTTTGTACTTCAAAGGTCAGCTCATGCAACAGTGAAGAGTGGATGCTTCAGACGGTGGTGGTCTCCTGTGCGGAGCTATTTTGCCATTTAATACTTGCTAGTCTGCATTAGAAGAGCACAAAAAGTGGTATGCATAGTTAAAGGGTAATAATCACATGCAGAACAAGGCCGAATTTAATGGGATTTCGGTTTGATCAGTGCGCCAGTCATTTTGGCCCGGTACTTACAATTGGGTGACCGAAAGAGGAAGCTAAACGAGTTTGGTGCATGTGGAGGAGTTGGAGAGACGAAGTGGCTGCACATTTGGTTAATTCGAAGGTGGAAAGCCTGAGTTTGTGTTGTGGAGGGCAGGTGAAATGAATGGTCGAAAGTGTCGTAATCCGTCAAGGGTGTCTGTCCACGAGTTGGCATGGCCCTCGAGTTCGAGGCGGCTGGAGGTCCGGTCCGGTCCGGTCAGATGGACTCGCAATCGCTGCTCTCGACTGTGCTGAATCGCGACTGCGGCGTGTTCCAGATGATTGTTGCTCCAGAACGACCGCCCGAACCGTCGGTTTTCGGGGGCGTTGCGGTTGAGGTCAGGGGCTTCTTCGGCTGTCTTGTTTTCAGCGCTTGTGCTCGCTCTTGCATGCTTGCGGGGTACTCTATGCGGCGTATGTGGCGTCCCTTCGGCGGAGCGGAAGCGGCTGGAAAACCGGTCTTCTTCGAGTCCGTGAAGACCTGGCTTTCGGGAACGGCGAAAGTGACCGTCGGCTGAACGCACAAGACGCCGCTTCGAGCCGAGTCGGTGCCGAGTCGGCTGACTGGCTTCACGGAGTTCACGTCGGCAGGTGAGTCGGGCAGGAGCACAGTCAGGCCGTTCGGCAGAGCTTCCGTGAGTTCACAAATCGAGCTGCTTGGCGACGACTGCGAGGAGGCGGACAATGTGGCCTTGGCGATCTGGGGCTGCGGTGTCATGTCGGGACTCGAACTCGGGCCCAAAGGCCGGTCGTTGTAGGAGAAGGGCTTTCGGTGCCCCACGGCTGGGTTGGGGTGGTCGGACACGTTTGGGCGGGCTCCGTTGTGCACGACGGTGGCAGTGGGGAAAACGGAGCCAGTCGAGGTCGGGGTCGGGGTCGGTGTCGGGATCGGGATCGGGATCGGGTCCAAGAGGGGCAGGCGGAACTCGACCGTTTTAGGATCACCGTCCTGCTCGTCCCGCTTGGCCACACTTTTGGCTGCCGGCGACGTCTCCGCGGCCGCTCGCACGAGGCCGGAGGCGGGCCCGGCCAGACTCTGCTCGGACCAGGCTCTTTTGTCACTGTTTTGTTTTTACGGGAGAGGTGGGCAAGACAGCAAAATTAGTCATCCGAAATGGGACTCGAACTGACAGCCATGCTGAGGCAGACAATGCGGGACCATCAGCAGTGCTGACATTTCATCCAAGTCAACGGAGATGACGGTGTGGATCACACGAGCGTACATGGCAGTTGCGCCATTTCCTCATCAGCATTACTATTATTACTATCAACATCAATATCACCATCATCATCATCATCATCATTCTCATCCTTCACCCCTTTTTTAGGCTCGGAGGGATGTGGAAGACTGGCCTGTACATGCTAGAAACCTTTGGGTTTGTATGTTAGCGCGGATGAGCTGTACAAAGAATGGATGGACTCATTCTGTGCTGAACATCGGCACATGTCGTGTTTAAGAGTTTTGCTCAACTTGGGGTGTATAAAGTAGTGAGAATTGAATGATCCCACAATCAAACGAGTAGGTCTTACGTTTAAAATGCACTTTTAGATACCAAGACCAGCTGGGTCCTGATGACTCTTTTATGATAAACTCGTTTTGGAGACCTTCATTTGACATGATGGCGAGATTTGCCGGTTTGTCACACCGACCTACTAATTTAGCTTGCATTTCAGCGCCAATGTTTGGAATTCTATTTCTGCATCAATGTGCGAAAGGAAGAGATTGTCAAATGGAATACCAAGTCGTCTCCTGGGCCCTGGTAACCAGTTACGGTGCTAACAAGCCGAGTTTGCATCCAGCATATGGAAAACCAATTCGAACAAAAGCTATTGGGCAGAGATATGTCAGGAGACCCGTCTAAATCTCGTATTACTACTTGAACATATCTAAACTGCGTTCACCCTTTTTGTTTTAAAATGATCAAAGACTGGTAGTTGAATTTTTCCCAATCATATGAGTAGAACTGGCGCCTCCACTGAATTTCACATAACCTTAATTCCTAAAAGTTACTCTTATCCAGACAGAAGTATACTGCAGGTTCGACCTCGCCTCAGCAGGCCTCATGAACACCCCCAGCTTGCGTCCAACCATGACACGTTAGCCACTCAGCCACGGTGTCACAGGGCACATGTGCTTTTCAACGAAGGCCAGGCCTTTTCCCATATCGCATTCTCTAGTGGGATTGTCGGTGAGGCAAACTTATATTTGACATAGCACTCGACGACATTAATTATTTTTGGTTTTAAGTAGGTTCTTGAGACTATCAGTAAATCATATACATTTTAATAGAATATATGAAGACCAATATGGTGTGGCCTCTGGTGTGGTCGCAGTCTCCTTTCGATTTATAGAAGTCAGTTGACCTCGTTTTTGCAACTTAATCCTGTTGTCAAGGCGAATATGTAGAACGCAGCTATTCCGAAGTCGTCTGCCAGAGTAGTTGTCATGATTCCCAGCATCGGACAGTGGACTTGGTACGTTTGAAACGTTTGAGAATGTATCAAGTCCACTGTCAGATGCTGGTAATCATGACAACTACTATGGCAGACGAATTCGGACTAGGTGCGTTCTACATAGTCGCCCTGACAACAAGACCAAGCTGCGACAACGAGGTCAACCCACTTCCATATACAGTTTTTTTTTTAAAAACGCACCGCCCTTTTTTGGTCAAAATGACAAAAAATTAAAACAAGTCGATATTATATATAAGATAGAGGTATTTAAAAAAAATTATTTTACATTTCTGTTTTTTTCTAAATAAGTTTTATTTGGACTAATATATCGTTTCTTAAACTTTTTTTGTTAATAAAAGTGCACCACTAGTCATTTAGTATTTTGTTGATTCACCTTTGGCTTTATAAAGAACAATAGCTCGTTTCCAAAAACTTTCAGCCAATCTCATTGTCATATCCGTGGCTATTTCTGCCCAAGACGTCTTAATTGCATCTTTAAGTTCGTTGATATTTTAGGCTTTAATATGCCTATTTTAGACTTTATAATCCCCCATAAGTTCTCAATTAGGTTCATGTCTGGTGATTGAGCAGGCCAAGGCAATAATTCCACATTTCTTTCTCTCAAAAACTCTGAT